GATTGCTCACAAAACCTTTACCAAGCATTAGACAAAGTTAAGCCTCTCTTTAAACATTATTTTCTTGACAACAGCAATACAATCATAATTCTCAAGCCAGAGGATTCAGCTAGGTTACTTTACAGCACAACTCTCACTTAGCACAAAATACGTTTCTACACTTGTTCACTCATTCCTAACAATCATGCTAGATTGCTCACAAAACTTTTCCCAACCATTAGACAAAGTCAAGCCTCTCTTTAAATATTATTTTCTTGACAACAGCAACACAATTATAATTCTCAAGCCAGAGGATTCAGCTAGGTTCAAAGTCCCATGCAGATTAAGTCTAAAGCTCATCTATTCCAGCCATCACGCAGCAGCTGCAGCCAGGGGGCGCATCCAGGACACAAAGACCGTAGAAGCAAATAACCCTGATTGTTGGGGGTCAATTTGCTGTTATTACAGGAACACACAGAAGGCCAACTTCCAGGCCTTTTCCCCAAGGTGCCAGAAGAGCCAGCCTTCACTGATCCATGTGTTGAAATGTCCAGAGCCACGTCCATTTTACTGCTAATTGCTGCACCCATTCTTGCAACACATGTCCAATACAGTGGGTACCTCGATCGCTCTCAGTAACCGGCAAGCGAACATATGCTGCAGAGAGATGCTCTAGGCCCCTCTTGGTGGTTTGCTGATCTGCACAACGTGCAGGGCACACCTTCCAGGCTCGGCTGACTTCTTCAAAGGTGAAAGACAAGCCACACCGATGGGTCCACATTGTCTTTTGAGGTGTCTGTGCCACACCACTCCGTGGTCTTTGGGTCCAGTCTTGCACCCACCCCCATGATGGGATAGGAGGTTATTACCTTGGTTGGAGCTGTTCCGGCAATGGGCTCTGTAGCCATCAAGGCGTGGTACACAGCAGCCAATTGCTTCAAGGTGACTCAGACCTCTGCTCTTTTCCATTGTTGTGGCCAGGCTCTGACTGGCAGCAAGAGCAGCAGCAGTGGCAGAAGCAGTAGCCTTACGGTCGGGCCACAAGCCAGGGTCGGCGTGGCCAGCAGTGGTGGTGGCGCCTCCAGGACCACACAAGTGTAGACACATGTCCCTTGGCGTGAGTGCCGCTTCTCCCCATCATTTCTAGGGGCGGCCCTCCCAAAGGTCGCACCCATGATGACAGGTTTTGGGGTCACAGGAATCCTGCCGTCTACGCCAACTGTAAGTCCAGGGAAAGGAAATCCTGGGGCAAAATACCCCTAAAAACCAAAATCAGTCAAAGGGAGAAATAAAGTTTAAAACCTATTTATTGCTCACAAACTGCAGTCCCAGGACATTCTCTGTTCAAGCAGCAACCACACTGGCCCTCTCCCCCACCTCTCAGGTACAGATAAGCCCTCTGTTGCCCAGGTAATCACCCATTGATATGGAGATGAACTTCTCCACCCCTGAGGAAAGATGCAAATGCACTAAAGCCATACTTCTCTCCACCTCTGAATGCCTGTTCATATGCAGATGTACCAAAGCCAGGCGAGATATTCTGAAAATGTTTTAATTTTACCCACAGAACCAAACGACTTGCTGCATTTAATATAAGAACAAATTCATTTCACTGGGTTTTAATTTGATAAAGTTTTGTCCAAAGTCAAATAACCCCAAAGTTATGAATATTAAATTTAAAACTGAACATATTTTAAAAACTCCTATTTTGATTTTAGAGTCAAAATTGTACTGAAATATTAATAGATGTATTATGCCACATATAACATTTATTTCAGCATCCTTTAAAGTTTAAAAAACAAATACATACTCATTAAAGAAAATTAAAAATATTCATAAAAATATAAAGAAAAATAAAATTAAAAGTGAATTTGTTGTTGGTTCTACTACTTTAAACAATTATTATTAACATTTTAATATACTCCCTAAGTAAAGCAAGCTGAGTTAATTGTTGTTTGATGTTAAAAATAACAGGCTTAATAGTTGAATATCATGCTTTCTTATTCTTAGAAAGTATGTTTCCTTTTTTCCTTGATTGTGGGTCAGTAATTATTACCCTTATTATTAACTTACATCATAACATTCTTAACTTCCCCTCCTAAAAATGCTGCATGGAAAATATTATTTCTTATTTAAAGTAAATTTAAACCAAGCTTTTACTTTACTTTTGGGACAGTTTATAATTAAATTACACTCAGTCAGTCCAAGAAGTCTTTCCCATACCCCACACCTACAATCCTGGTCAACTTCAGTATTTAATGTTTAAAGCTGTGTCAATTTAATACATAAAAATTATACCTTGTTATTTTAATTTGGACATCTTTGAATATTTGTCATGATAAATATTTTCTTGTTTATTGGTGGTATTTTTTTCTATATTTGAATTATATGAGTGAAATTAATGTGATTTAAAATCCTAAAGACTGTAAGTTGTGCAGCTCTGCACTGATTTTTCAATTCTTTACACTTTTCTAATTTAAACTGTTCTTATTAATGCACACAAGTCAGATCTGCATTGCATGAACATCTTTTTCATTAGAAATAGAGTAGCCATTTCTATCTAACCTTAACTGTTCAGAATCTGTATTTTTTGCTTTAAACATAAAACCACAGGCCAAGTTTCCATTCTCATTTACCACTTCTCTACCTGAGTTGTCAGTTTCACTTCTGGTCTAAACTGAGGGTTAAGTGAGAGGGTACCTCATTAAATCAGTCTTTGGGCAAGGTCTGCATCAATTTATCTACTTTACTTATCTTTTTCAGTTTTTCATTTGAAAATAAATTTAAACCTAATACTGTTCAAAATGTGTTCTGGTATTTAAAAATAATCTTTTAGGATTAACAGTCTTTAAGGACAGTGGAAGAATTTCATTTGGGGATGCCAATGTGAATATTTCTTTAAGGAAATGTGACAATATTTAGGAAATAATCATCCAAATGGCAATTACATGAAATGACCTGTATATGGACTAAATACAGCTTTTCCCTAAACTTTGGAAAGGATTATAGAAAGTGATTTGACTTGTAATTTTCTTTTATCTAATAAGCTCTTTGGTGTTAGTACTTCATTCTTTGATTCAAAAAATATGTAAGTATGGGAGGATTGTAAACTCCATGAAGAAACAAGTTTTATTTCTACCTCTCTAAATCAGAAAGTCTAATAATGCTATATATATAGTAGTTGATTGTGGGCACAAGCTATTGGTTTAACTTTTTAATCGGAAATTTTATTCTTATTTATATTTTTATTGTAATTGTTCATATATTTACATTTACAAATGCCATTTTATTCTGTATTTCTATTTACTATATTTTGTTTTCTCCTTTCTTGCATTCTGTCAAGTACTGGAGACTGAATATTAACAACAAGATTCAGCAGAAGCTCATTAGCTGCATTTGAACACTGTACTTCTGTATTTCTGTGAGTGTGTGTGTGTGAGAAAGAGAAAGAAATTTGTGAGTGACCGCAATATGCCTGTTTTACAACCCATCAATTACAATAAGGATCTATTAGTTATAATAACAAATATATCTGTCATAGTGCATTGTGTATATTAGACACTGTATATTCACAGTTTGATGTTTGAAATATCAACTGTTTTCAAGGAACTCCACAGGTCTATGACATAAAAGGCATAAATTTAAACCACTGGCCTATGATGGGATGAGGAATGAGTGACTTAACAGGTCAGGCCAAACTCCAGGATTGGTATCTCATTTCTGCTTTATTTTCTATACACCATGAAGTATCTCTGGAGAGGCTATACTTTACTAAATTTATATGGAGTACATTTTATGTTATACCAGAATTTGCAAATTTAGGAATTTGTGTAAATTTTGCAATCAACAGTTTTTAAACACTGTTTATGTTCTATAATGAAAAGAACAGAGTTGCTTGTTGAAGACTTTGGCACAGAAAATTTTTTAAAAATCAAGAATAATTTTCAGTCTGTGTATGATTTTTTGATACATAATATTTTATCTGATCTAAGAAATCATGAGAAAATCTATATTTTCTGCCTTGTATATAATTAAGAACAAATGGAGAGTGCATTTATAAATATAGATCATAAAGTATTCTAGCAAGGAAACCCTTTTTACATTTCATTCTGAACTAATAATAATATGGAAATGAAATCTTTCCAATCAGAATGATAGGAGCTACAGATATAAATGTTAAGTTTCTCATTAATATTAACAAATTAAATGCTCGTAGATGAAACCTAACTCTTGTTAACTAGGGAGTGATAAGAAACTAATTATTAAATCTTGATTAGTAAATAAGAAAAATCACCAAATGTCAGATTGATGATATCCTTTACTAAATCTGCAGAGCATTACAAAAATAATATGAACATTGTATCACAAATCCTTTTAATGGGTCATTTCAACTTAACCACATATGGCCAACACAAAATATCTCCACTGTAATTTTAAAGTGTTTTTGGATCTTAGAAATTTGGTACTCATATACACAAACTAAGAATTTTTTAATTTAATAATGTTTGCCAACAACAGAATATTTGCCCCCACTTGTAGATTAATAAAGGGACATTTTGTGTGAGTTTATATTTCATTCTGATTTAACCTGTCATAAACCTTCATTTTATTAACAATTAAAGCATTGTATATTTAAAGTAGATTTTTTTTCTTTGAATGTTGTGGGATACAATCTTAGGATGCAAGTCCTATTTTTCAAATACATTTAGGAAACATTACTCCACTAAGGCAAATGACAAAGATAACAAGTGACCAGAGTAACTCAGCCCAAGGTAGATTTTTACAGCTGCAATAGAAAATCAGGTCACTGGTATTGCTGTTTCTTCCTGTGCACTTACATGTAAAGTCTACTCATGGTTGTTTATTCATAGACTTGATAAAAACAAAGAATACTGACTCAAAGAAAATAACTTAAAATAAGAACAGGCACACCAATCCATAACAATCTCTGTGGAAGACAAAATCCAGTAACCATTTACATGTGTTCTTTTAGTTACAGTTATCCTCCTTCTCTTCTCCAGATGGAACTTCTCTCTCCAATGGGACTGGAGGCCATCAGCTCGGTACCAGGCTACAGCAGTGGCTCTTTTAGAAGCAAATTTCTTTTGATACTGCTTGCCTTTTGTGAATGAGCACTGCAGGGAAACTGAGGCTTACTGTTTTCTGCGGCACACACAGTTGACAAGTCATTTCTCACTTCTGAGAGCACCAGGGGGGAAATTGAAGGAGTCAAGATGAATCATTGAGGAAGATTTCTTTCACTCAGCTTCCCATCATACTGTGCATTTCTTCATCTATTTAAAAACTAACTTGTGACTCCTTAGTAATAGTCCACTCTCAGTCACGCACATAGCTTCCCTTTAAGACTGTTAGTCTCACCCACTGGATTCTCACTCAGAGGTGATTTTGGACTTGTTAGAGTGGACAAATTAAAGGATTGCGATGAATATCAGGTTAGTTTTTATCTTCTAATATGGCTCAAATGGAGTAAATGTGTGTTTGCAAATATGTGAGACTTGAGTATATCTATTTTAATTAATTATAAGTTATCAGACATCTTCTTTGCCAGGCTTTAGTGAGGAACTTTTCAGTGATAAGTTTGAGAAAAATTGCTTGAGAAATGCTGAAGAGATGACTATCTTTTGTTATTAAAATCATGGCAATTGCTTAAACAAATGACAACAAATAATACTAACCTGCAGTAATTCCCCTAGACATTTACTCTATTAAATTTTATTTTGTTTCTCTAGGTTTGCATATAACCATCAAATCATAATTGTGTTAAGGTGCCAGAATATTATTCTAGAAACTTGTGGAAGTAAGTGCTGATTTGTTCTATATTGACATTAAATTACCACAAGGTAGCTCTTAAAATAATAAAAATCTTGACAAGTAGTACATTTATGTCTATATTTCTACATGTACTTGTAGCTACATATTTATATAAATAGAATTTTTCCCTATTAAAAATGTGGAAATCCTATGGCTTAAGAATATGAAAAATGAGACACAACCAAATAATTTATAATAAACCTTTTAATGCTATTATAATGTAAATTGCCTTTCATACCAAAGGAATCCATATGTGACATAATAACACACCAACTCAATGAAGTTTTGAAATTTTTTCTACCAGAGTTAGGTTATCTGTAATATGTCTATATTTCCTTCCATCATTGGTACATTATGAGTATAAAATATAGTAAGATAGTCTTAAGGTATAAAGTTAGCATATCTATTTAAAGTTTTAAAAAGTACAATCTATCTTTCTTCACTGTTATTTAATCTCAGCAAAAACTTAAGAGATGAAACAGAAGTAGACAGATTCTTAAAATTTGTTAAATTAGAGTGATTGTCATATGATACTCTGTTTAGAAATTTTTAAGCAACATTCAAAAATTAATAGTAGTTTTATATAGTAACCTTTTACTCAATATTTTTAAAAATTCATATTTATTAGTTTTACAATATCCTCGAGAATACTATAGACACAGATATTACCATCTACATTTAGATATAGGAGAGTAACACAATTTGCTCAATGTTCCAACAGTAAAGATGCAGTTAAACCTAATAATTCCGATTTTTCCTCATTTCTTAACAAATACCTTAGCTGATTGATTGGGCTATTTTTTTAAGGCAGCATTTCTCATAGACAATGATTTTCATGACTAGTAATAGTGCTTTATTTGTTTTTAAATTCTGCCTTCTATATTTTGTTTTTATTTAATCTTTAGAGATCTATTTGTTTAAATTCAGTTTTGAAATTTTTCCAATAAATTTTCTCATGATTTACAGTTTTTTTCTTGATCTGATAAATTATTAAAAGGCTGTTAGAATAACAAAACTAATTAATATTAATGTGTTGATAGAAATTAATGCAATATAGAAGAACACTTATATAAGGAAATTATATTTTCATTTAATGAAAGTTTAAAAGAAATAAACTAATTTATTAGCCAAAAGCTTTATTTTCAACTTCTAAATAAATTATAATATAAGAAGATACCCAATATTTGAGATGTCTTTTAATGTGAAAGTTACATAGGATCAACTTGAATTACCTAGTCTATGAAAAGATTCTAAGCTTTCTCTTCCTAATATTTAGAAGTGAAATAATAATAATTCATTTGGGTCAACAGTGGGGGTAAAAAAACAACCCACTTTCGTTTGCATCAAAAGTGTTTACAATAGCATGTTTGCTACTACAAATCCTTTTGTGGTTGCTGCTAATTATATGCTTTCCACTTCAAAGTCTTTCAAAGGAATATAGGTACAAATCAACTCAATAAACATTTATTGGGTGAAGGAATTCAAGAAGGTCTCTGGATTTGGAAAAAATGTATATAAAGTACCACTAAAATCTTCATTATGGATTCTTTTTACTTTAACTGAATACAAAGCACCCTGTCTTTCTATATTATTGGATCAAATCTAGAAATTATATACACAGAGCAAATGATGCTAAAGGGGATGGGTAGCATTAACATTTTAATTAAAATACAAAATGATAGTCCACACAAGCATTTAGCTAAGCATTTGATGACTTCCAATTATATTAGTAGTAACATTTTCATTTGATAACTAGATAATTGGGTAAGTAAAAAACGTAATTAAAGCGAAGGCCTATCCTAATTTATAATGGCAATGAAAACAGAAAAGCATAGTAAAACACCATTTTAAAGTAGTTATAAACCATTACAATAAGATACATTTTGACCACTGCATATTATAAGGACGTTAAGGTCAAGCCTTGCTTTCTTGTTAAAATGCTCTAGAAGATCAGGTGATAAAGTCCCAAATCATAAACACAAAATGATTTTATCCTCATGAGCTTTTTGCCAGGCCAGCGTCATTGGGAATGGCATAGGGTAAAAGACAATGTTGGAAGGTGGTAAAGAATCACCACAAAAAGTTTTAAGAACCCTACTTCATTACAATCAGTTACAGAGCACAGTTATATTACATTGTTTGCTACCTGCATTGTCACCACATTTCTCACCCAGGGGACATGGGCAGAATCCTTTAAGCATAGTCCCATTCAGAGCCCAGTATGAAGGGTGGTGTGGATCTAGGCAGCCTGGTTCTTGAGAAAAGAAAAAGCTGGAATGTGCATTAATAATCTTGAAGAAAGGAACCGGTCCAGGCAGGGGCCTTTGTCTCAGAGTTCAAGGACATGTAGGAGTTATATTTTTCCTGGTGAACATGATTGGCAAGGGTCAAATAAGGCCACTCAGCTAAAAATATAGCACATGGCCTAGTTATATCCGCAAACACTGGGACTTCTCAGTCTCCTCTTTAAAAATTAACTCTTCCTTGTATTTATGAAGAAATACAAATACCATCAGTAGTACTTTTACTCTTTCTTTGTTGTTGACATAAATTAACTTTCCAACCCCCCAAGAGAGCTTGGAACATCACAGTCCCTTTTAGAGTGACACAGACCTCTTCCTCCTTCTGGAAAAATCCTCTGCATGAATGACATTAGAGAGAGCCTTAGTGAGGTGACTATCGGAGGTCTCGGTGCTGCTCCCAAACTCATGGTTCTTCACGCAAGGGCATAAGCAGTGCAGGATGGCCCGGCGGACGTAGCTGTCAAAGATATAGTAAATGAAAGGATTGACACAGCTGTTGGCAAATGCCAAGGGCCCACTCACCTCCATTCCCAGCTGGAGAAAAGCTGAGGAAAAGGCGAGTTCTTGCTGCAACCCAGAGACAACAGCCAGGAGCTTGAAAGTATTAAACGGCAGCCAGGAAAAGACAAAGGCTGCCACCACAATAAAGATGATCTTCATGGATTTCCTCAGTTTTTTGTTATGCTTTCCTGACTGCTGGTAATGGGCACACAGTTTCCTTGTGATGCAACAGTAGCAGGCCATAATGCTCACCAAAGGAACAAAGAAGGTAAAAATTAAGGCCACCAGGGCCCAAGTCAGTTTAGTGGAAGTAGCCCTCTTCTCTGCACAGTATGGCTTACTGTCAATCAGGGTGAGCTCCCTGGACAGAAGAGTAGGCAACCCCAGAAGGCAGGAGATAAACCAGACACTGGCACAGACTCCATATGCACAGTCTTTCCTTCTGAATTTCCTGGATAGGGCTGGACACACAATGGTGACGTAGCGGTCAACACTCATGCAGGTGAGCAAGAAGACACTGCAGTGCATGTTGACTGAGATCATGTAGGAGCTGCCTTTGCACAGGAAAGAGCCTGTCCTCCACAGTCCTAAAGATGCTTCTTTATCCACCCAGAGAGGCAATGTGACAAGGAAAATGAAGTCAGAGGCAGCCAGGTTGATGATGAAGATGTCAATCAGTCTTCCACTGCCCTTTTTGAAGAACAGTGCACTCAGGAGGAGCAGGTTCCCCAACACTCCAATCAGGAACACAGCTGTGTAAAAGATGGGAAGGAAGACAGATGTATAAGGAACATGGGAGTGGGTCTCCTCAATTTCAGGATTTGGGCTTGTAGCATAGAAATAATCCAAATAAACAATGGTTGCTTCTGGATCCATCACTAAGATCAGGTGCCAAATCTGGTAAGTTTTCTTACCAGAAGTTTTTGTGTGAATTTTAGAAATCTCCAGGTGGCTTCTTTTATGTAATGCCTACCTCTTCTCTTCGAGCCTCTTAAAAGATCTTGGGACAAGTATAGGAACAATTAAAAAATGCAGTTTCTACCAATCCTCAGCAAGGGCCCACAAGAAACACCACCCTGATTGGTATTGGGTGGTTGTGGTTGTGGTTTTCTTTATTTGCATTTGCCCAGGAAACTGAGATGCTTTTTGACTTCTTTCTTCAAGATGTTCAGTTTATTTCTTTAAATCCAGAAATTAGGAAATGAATTAACTGTTTCCTCTCATGAACTTCAAAGATATCCTTTGCCTTTCTGACACTGAGAATCCTTTTGCTCTAGGCTGCTGTTTCAGATAGGATACTGTTTGACTTCTACAATTTAAACTGGATGATGACAAACATACACTTTTTATTTACATTGTTGGTGAAATGTGAAGAAAATAGTCTTTCATTGCATAAGGAATGAATTGAAAATTTCCTGAATCAGACTAGCCACACCTACGGCAAACAATGATTTCAAGTAGGGTATGAAATTCTTTCCATTTATTTGGCTCTTTCAGTTCATAAGTGATCCACTCATTCTGTTTAATTCAATAAGTTTTTTTATATGCCCAAACGGCTGGGATCACATGTGCATTTATCATTTTAAAAACTTTTCCATTACAATTAGCCCAGCAACTTGCACATAGTAGGTACTTTGGAAATGTTAGTTTATTTGAGTTGATTAGGGAAACTCTTGTTTCGTGATTCAGTATAATTAGCAAGGATCAATTCGTTGGTATTCAACTGCTGGCATTGTTGTTTATTTGCTTACAGATGCAGGTCTTTAAAAATCACAAACTGCTATTTTTATGCTGTCTGCTATTGTAATTCAACCAAT